CCCCCCCCCCCCTCTTTTACAGTCACCTGTCTTGTGAATGGAATTCTGTTGAAGGGAGAGAAGAGGAGGAGGAGGAGGGAGGGTCGGTAAATCCATCCAGAGCTGCTCTGCTGTAGTTATTATCCGGCGCAGGCAGGCTGAAGTGGCTACCCCCCCCCCCCCCCCCCCCCCCCACACACACACACACAAGTGTGTGTGTTTATTACAATTTCTAAGAGCAGAGCGGATTTGTGTCTGCTGTAAAATATGCAGCCCTTCGTGCGTGGGTCTGGGACGAGGTGGGGGGTGGGGGGTCCACTTCAGTCCATGTTGTGCAGGAGCATCTCCAAACTCCATCCATCCACTTGCATACCTCAAACATTTCGCGCAGGGTTTGTTTCAAGCAAACAGAAATACTGTAACTTTATTTGCAAACTGTGCATCTCCTCTTCTCCGTCCATCCTTACCTCCTTCGGCTCTCCGTCTCTTCCTCCTCTGGTGGGCATCAATTTGAAAGATGTCAGGTTCCTCAGGAGTGAAACTAAAACAGAAGGGGTGGAAGCCTGAGGTCCTCCTTGTGTCAAACCGCGCCGGGTCTTCAGCTCTGCAGCTGCAGCTGAGCCTCGGTGTCGCTGTCCCCCGTCGTGGTGCTGAAACTGCACGGAGCATCATGCATATTCAGCCCGGGATTAGGGGTGTCTCTCTGAGCTGCAGCGTCAAAGACAGCTCAGGATTTAGGTGGTAAACACGCGGAAAGAAGGACACCAGGGATCAGGATGTGTCTAACTGAAGAAAGTTCACTTTTTCTATTTTATTTTAATTTTTTGAATGGGAAAGGATCCACTCAAAGAGGTGCATCCACAGATTTTTCCATTTGTTATCTGAGTCTAAGAGTTATTTAAGATGGAGGCTATTGTCACTTGCTGGGAGGATGCAATACATCTCAACAAAAATGTCAGGCTCGCACAGGCTACTCATCCTTTAACTTTCTACAGTCAGGGGCTTTAATGCCACCATAAATTCAGCCTTAAATATCTTCCTCCAGAGACACAATCCAAACAAGAAAACAAAAATCTAACTTCTTTTACAGCTTCTCAAGGATGTTTGGCAAAAGAAAAGTTGTTTTTCAGCCAACTCAACATTGAAACCCTTCTAAAATGTTTCTTATCTTTGTCTTTGCAGCACACTTAAGTGATTCTCCTCAGCAAACTGTTGCTTTTTTCCCTTCTCTGCAGTGTTTTCCAAAGTTTTCAACAACTTTTTATCCTGTCCTTCAGGCCCAGTCCCTGCCACTACACACAAACACAGAGCAGAACAGTCCCCGGAGCATCCAACGCAGCCCAGCGTGTTCATTTTGATTTGTTGTGACTGAGAGAGTGTATGATCGGGCCGTTTGTCATCTGAGTCATCACAAGAGGTTTCTTCTTCCTGGGGTTTACAATAAAGAAAGGAGACATGGATCTGTCCACATTCCTTTTCATGCATGGGCTTATTAATAGACTCGTAGCATGATCCTGACACTGTGCTAACATCTTCACTGGTCTGTTAAAAGAGTGCGGACAGGTGTCCCTGAGTCATTAGTTCTCATCTGCTGTAATTGTCAAAAGGGACTGCTCAAATATTCATTTCCCTGAGTAAAAATGAGGTATTACATGGGCAAAAATGAGCTTCAGTCAATGCTTTAAGCTCTTAACAATTTACACCTGCTTTCAGACTTTATAATTTGTTTTCCTGATTCAAAGTTTGGCCAATACACGTTAGAAATGTATTTATTATTATTTATTTATTGACAATTTTGACCCTAGAACGTTTGTATGTAGCATATATCTCTCAAAAGCTTAAATGTTTTACAAAACCTATCCTTTTTCTTTTGGAAGAAGAAGCCTCTTGGGTGCTTACTAACTTGCCCAGCTAAACACAAGTCCTGCAATGACCTGGGACTGTCTGAAATTATTATATTTCCAAACAGTCATGAACACAGCTGAAGAAGAGCTGGAGGAAGATGCCACAGGGATTCCTGAGATTCTCATCTCCTGCTGTTATTATAACACTAAAATGGAACATATGGTTTGAAGACTAGACAAATGGACATTTGTGAATAATATTCACTCAAATTTAGTTCAATGTCCAATTACCTGTGTATACAGCCATAATCCAGATTCTTCAGGGCTGTTTTCTTTAGGTAACATTTGTAAATTTTAGGGACTTGAGAGGAGAAAGAATCACGAGACCAAGAAAGAAAAAAACTTGTTTACATGGTTTGAAGTTGGTAGAAATTAGGACCAGTTCTGATATAATGTGGTAAAATGTGCAGTGCATCTCATTTTGTTGTGCACATTAGAATGAGATATCTACATAAATAACATAACGATACTTTCTAATGACAATGAACCTTTTTAAAGAAACAATCTGCGCTGCCACATTCCAAGACTGTTTAAAGTTACAATTGATCAATTTCTTAAAAGTGCTTTATTGTTTTAGACTTGGAACAAATGTCTTGTTTATCCCTTTCAGATGTGGATAACTTTGTGCTTGCTTTCAAGCTCCATCATTTTTATTTATTTGAATGGCAAAAGACGACTCTAAAACATATTGTTACTCAACACCATTCAAAATGAAACGTCTACATTTTTAGCCTCGATTTTAATATTTCATTTTGAGAATTTAAAATAAAAAAAATTCAGAGACTTTCTTATTAAAAACAAATGGGTAAATGTGTAGAAAATGATTAAATAGACTTGCAAGAGTCCATCCATCTGTCCGTCCATCTGGTAAGAGTCTGTTCTCTTTTGATTATCGGTCGTTGTGTGGTAGAGTTAACAGGTCCAGGAGTGAAACCCAGACATCCCTCTTTCTACCTTCTCCACACCCACTTCTGGCTATGAGGACATATATAATCATTCCAACAAGTTGTTGTTCTGTCCTGAAGTCGCCAGTGGGATGTGCCCAGTAAGCAACCAGAGGGAGGCATCATAACCAAATGCTCAAACCAACTGAGCTGATTCCTGATTGTTGCAAAGCAACAGCAGCTCTACCACATCTCCACCAAGATAGCAAAGCTCCTCTTTGTAGAATCGGCACATTAATGTAGTGGAAGAGTCTTTAGAATCCCTGCAATCCTAGAGTCTTTCTTGTCATTGGTCATTAGCCCCCAGTAGGGTCTACCATGGCAAACTGAACTCAGGGAAGAGGTCATAGTAAAAATCAATTTGAAGACGTCAATGAAAGATGACCACAGAAAGCAGGTTGCCTCACCTGCTACAGGGAAACTGTGCATCCTGCAGGAGCCAGGCTTTGAGGGAAGGAGTTTGCTGAAAGTCAAGCTTTGGATCCTGGAACATTTGTTGGGTCAAGCCTGAAGTGGCTACAAGTCACCTCCAGGATTATGGGCATGCTTGCGTCATAAATTGATGGTGACAATAAAAATCTACTTATGACTTTAGGCCCTTGATTTGTCTGATGAATGAGAGAAAATTGATTTACAAACTTTTGCTTTGTTTTTCTTTAAATTCAAAGACAGCTGTTATGTTTGACTTGCAGTTTTGATCTGGTTAGTGGACTAAATCCATGTGATTTTGAGGCAGAGCAGAGCATCTTTTTGCCCAAAATAGACCTTTTGACCGAGTTTAAAAAAAATCCAGGTTTCTAGTTACATTGATGGCATTATCCTAATTACAACTGGAACTAAAGTTAATGCTAATATAAATGAAAACACGTTTAAATATGCAGTGATAGCTGTCATAAAAATGTGATTGTCTAAATGTTCCATTTTGAGTCCTTTGGTTTGTCATAGGAACAGACAAGTATTTTTTTCAGTTTTTGAATCTGTGTACTATCTTGATTTAATATGTGTGAAGGCTATCCAGGATGTTTGTGTTGTTTGTTGCAAACCCAAGTGTGACCAGTGTGTCTTTGCATAAATGAAAGCATGTAGTTGTTTACATTACTTGCTTCTTGGTACCCTGCTGCCCCATGCTTGATAACATTGTAGTGTTGCTGTAATGTAATCCCACAGCCACAGGCCTGAATCATTACAGATAAAATCAAAACAACTTCTAAATGACAGCAAATCTAGTTGTGCACTGGAAGAAACAAAGCAC